AGCAAGATGAGACGGAGGCACCAGCGAAGGAATCTAGCAAAAGTGCAAAATGCCCCTCCGAAGTCGAACAGCGCCAACATGTTTGTTATTGGTAGTGCCATTTAAAACAAGGATGACGCATTCCTTTATAGATCTCTGCAATTACTCCCTCTTTGCATACTGCTAGTCTTTCTGAATGCTCTTATAGCTCGCGAGCTTTTCCATTAGATATCTGCTAGGTCAAGCCGCTTAGCGGCGCTGCTGTCGTCATCCATTCAGATTCATCACAAAGGAAAGGTGTACATCCGCAAAAAGGCCGGATTAAGGATTCTGAGACGTCAATTCGATTGGGCGAACAAATCAGCGAATGACGGACGTGAAGGGCGCAATTACTTACAACCTACCTTTAACTCTTACCCTTTTTTGCACGCCGATAGCGGTGCTCAAACACGCCTTTTCTGTGGAAGCTGCCATAAAATGGCTTGCCATCGGAATTGCTCACACAGACGTGGTGTTAGTCTGCTAGGGGGGGGGGAGTGGAGGAGGGCGTTTTGAGTTCTCGTTAATATGACGGACTACCTTGAAATTTGTGTAAAGCCACGAGATTATCCCTGTTTCATAGGCAGTTTGCGTTTTGTTAGGCGCTTTATAGAAATTAGCGATTTGAGCTGGAAAAGGTGAGGGAACAGGGAAAAGGTGGGTACCAAGAAAACTACGGCCATTACTGCAAGTTAGGTGAACCACTTCTCACGTAGTGGAAGATCACCCGTCGCTAAGGCACTCCCTTCCGCTGGAGAATATTCTCGGGAAGTACGACCCCTCCCCCTTCCCCATCCTACTTATCACTTTCCTAGACGGCAAGGTGAAACGGGAAAAACCGCAAAAAGTCAACAACTGAGAGAAATTTTCTTTCCAATGCCGCAAATTTCTCTCACAGGCAGAGAGCCCTCCTCCGTAATAGCGTGCGGGAAACAAGAAAAACCAACTATCAAAAAAGATTTTTCAGGCGAAGCGCAAAAAACATCCTCCCCTCCATCAGCGACCAAATAAGACCCCCTTTCTAGCTGAGGGTTTCCCCGAGATTAAAAATATCTTCGTGCAGTCCATATCTGAGGGCATCAAGAGGAGTGGCTGCACGAGCGGCAAGGGACCAGCAAAAGTTAGTCAGAGAGGTGCGTAAACACAAGAGGAGCGGCACGGAATACGCAGCCCCGTTCCTGTGACTGAGAGGTGGAACGAGCCATCAGTCTTGGAGGGTGAATTTTGGGTGCGCCACACACATAGCCCTACTTGAGTGAGTGAAATTATAACGAGGCGCGCAACTGAGGCTGGGTTTGGCGAACCGCGCTC